TGTTAATTGTCCTGAGCTTCTGTGTCGGGCATTCAGTTACCCCTTACACACACACACACACACACACACACACACACACACACACACACACACGAGAGAGAGAGAGAGAGAGAGAGAGAGAGAGAGAGCACGTTAGTCCACAGGATATACTTTTATACCACAGCAATCATGACATATTGGAGTAGAACACCTCTGCGGCCATCTGGTCAACCCAGGAGAATCTTAAAGGCCAGAGTAGTGAGGTGACTTATGGAGGAGTTCAATGAAGAGTAGAACAAGGGGAACTGGGGTATGACACTCTGGCTCCAAGACTAGTTATCTTTTCCTGATACCTGTTAGACATTCATAGCCACATTGGGGAAGGGGAAAAGAAACAGTTGAGCAAGACAGAGGGGGTAGAGCGAGATTTGGATTTGGAGCGAGACACCATTGGTCCGCAGCTAACGCAGTAGTAACAGCAATTGTCACTTACCCGGTACTGCTCCATGCTGGTTTTTCTAAGCACTTGACATGAGTTGACTCATCTGATCTTCAGGATGGTTCCTAAGGTAGGGACTGCGATTCAGCACCATTCCTCCATGTGAGGAAACTGAGGCAAGGAGTAAGAGAGACTGTGACCAATCTCAAATCTACGTGTCTGGACTTCAGAGGCGCTCCAGGAAGAGAAGGAGGAGGAGGAGGAGGAGGAGGAACCCTAACCCTAAGCCTAACAAAAACCCTAAACCCTAACCCTAACCCTAAACAATAACCCTAACCCTAACCCTAAACGAACCCTAATGCTAACCCTAACACTAACCCCAACCCCTAACCCTAACGCTAACCCTAACCCTAACGCTCTAACCCTAACACTAACCCTAACCCTAACCCTGAGAACCCTAACCCTAACCCTGAACATTGAACCCAAAACCTAACCCTAACCCTAACCTTAACCCTAACCCTAACCCCTGAGGAGGAACCCTAAACCTAACACTAACACTAACCCTAACCCCAACCCCAACCACAACCCTAATCCCTAACCCTAACGCTAACCCTCTAACCCTAACCCTAACCCTAACCTTCTAACCCTCTAACACTAACCCTAACCCTAACCCTAACCCTCAAACCCTAACCCTAACCCTAACCCTAACCCTCTAACCCTAACCCTAATCCCTAACCCCTAACCCTAACCCTGAGGAGGAGGAGCAACCCTAACCCTAACCCTAACCCTAACCCTAACCCTAACCCTAACCCTAACCCCTAACCCTAACCCAAACCCTAACCCTAACAATATCAAGCAAAAAACACATACTAAAATCCAGAGAAGTCTAGAGCGTAGGTAAATGGTATGTTACAAAGATCATTCCAAAGGGTGTCCTATCCTAAAGAACCTGAATCTAATACTTAATATGTTCTAAGATATTATATATATACTAAGTTGTAGCTATAACTGCTAATCTTCAATCCCATCAAAGACCTGAGAAGAAATATAATGGTACCTGAGAAATGGTATATGGATGCAAGCAACTTTCGGGAATCTTGCAAGAGTAGACCGAGAGAGCTGGCAGCCTGGACAGTCACCGGTGGTGGTAGTGCACACTGGTAGGATTTGCTGAAGGAGGTGGAGGCAGGAGGATCACGAGCTCGAGGCTAGCCCGGCTAGCTCAGTCAGTAGAGCATGAGACTCTTAATCTCAGGGTCGTGGGTTTGTGCCCCACGTTGGGTGCCAGATGTTGTTGAAATTATTAAGGCCACTCCATGTAGTTAAAAGGAGATTTATTTAATGGCGTAACTTACAAATGAAGTAATAGGTAGGTTGAGGGTTCTGGGAAAGACGCAGCAGTACTTTGGCGATGTTCTCTGGAGAACTCTCCTCCGTCCACCTCTAGTGTCCGGGCTCCCAGCAGCAAGAGAGCGCAGCATGTCCCAATCTCAGGTCTTCAGGCCCTCCCTTGGTCCCGCCTTGTGGGTGTGATAGTTACCAAAATCTCAATGGGGGTAGGAACTTCCAGACCAAAGCTGGAATGGCTACCCACTACACTTTTGGGTGAGCATGGCTGAAGTAAAAATGAAATCAGGATGATCCATTCATACCTTACTGCTATAATGACATGTTCATGGGGCTGAATAGATGGTTCAACACTTGAGAACACTGGCTGCTCATTTACAGGGCCTGACTTTGACTCCCAGCACACAAAGAACAGCTTACAACTGCCTGTATCTACAGGCACTGGGGATCACACTCTCTTAGGACCTTCACTGGTAGCTGACATGCACTTGATATACATACTGGCAAAACATATACCTAAATTAAATTTCATTCCTTTTGAAAACCCTTTTTAAAATATGGAATCACACACACACACACACACACACACATTATATATATATATATATATATATATATATATATATATATATATATA